ATACCTCTCCATTCCTGGCACAATCCTGCGTCATTTACTGTGTTATTACAGGCTCCTGGTTATTAACATCTATATATTTTTTAATCATCACGTGGCTATCAAATTTTGTTTGCTATTGTTAGTCAGCTACACCAATAACTTAAAATAACGATTCCTGTAAATTTCCCATGTCAAACAGAAAATTGAAGCATTGTAGGTAGGTGATGTGTTTGAACTCTGCTGTATTTTTTTCCCCCAAAACTTGAAAACATTGTTTTGTATAGCGGCGAGTGTTTTTCTGGAAAATACAACACTCGAAAAAATCACACAAATTTTAATTAAAAACTACATCCAGGACCCGAGTGGCGTATTTTCCAGTCTTCACTAATGACGATATTGATGACGTCTTCCCCCCCCCCCCCCTTTTTTTTTGTTTCTTGTTTTTGTCCATATAATAAAAAGAAAATTACACGGTGACTTCAAGATATGAAATTAATTTTCTTGTGATAAAACAAAAATAATAATAATATAACAGAAAATAAAAAATAAAAAATAAATACAATATTTTATTGCATTGTTTTTACCATTCATAAATAAAATTCATACTCCGCGCCGGCGTATAATATCCTCTCTTTACTTCACCGAAACTGAAAGTAAAACGAACAGACTCAAAGTAAAAGACCCCAATCCAATGTGTACATAAAAATATCTTTGAAGACACTACGTACTGGAACCTCTTGCTTTCCAGATATCGGTGCAAGGCTTGTCAGTATCCAATCAAAAGATCTAGAGTTTATGAAAAACAAAGTACTACCCCGAGGAAATATAGAATTACTCTCGAAAGTAATCAGGAAATCAATAAACTAGTTATAAGTCACAATCAACAAAGGCCACACGCAACACTGGCACAGTAGTCTATTGAAGAACATCGCGAAGGGTGGTATAAACACCTGAAGCAACTGAAATTTTTGAAAGTTCCAATAGGACTATAGATATCGCCAAAAAATTATATTTGACATGTAATTAATGAAATCGGTAGAGTTTGTCATGCTCGAACAGACCATAAACTGCTGTGGTCACTGGGCTAATTGACCTCTCCTAGACAGTATAATGATGGAAATGCCGCCTGAATCTCGGATTGGCTAAGGCATCATCGCACACTTTCAGTAGGTGCAGTAGCTTGTGGTGGTCCACAATGGAAAATGGTCACGTTTACTCGTTTCTCCGAAATTAAGAGAGACGATTTAGAAATACTACTGGATTACTTTATTTGAGAAGACAAACAAAAAAGAGAGAGAGAGAGAGCTGATGAACGCGCCTGCACACTCGATTGCAAGTTTCAAATAACAATTCAGCCTCGTCGCGATTTTGCTTAAGTTTATTCAGTATATGGGAAAATGGCTCTTAGTCGAAATCATTATTAGAACATCAAGAACATTTAGAGTACAGGTGATTTCTATATTCTACGAGTTAATAGCTAAACCGGCTATGAGATGAGCCACGAAGTCTTGACTTTTTGTGTGTGTTTATAGAGTGCGTTGCACGATAATCTTTTGGCCTTAGATTTTCAAACGGGAATTGCTTCGTCAAGTCCGGCTCGAATTTGGCTCTTCGTCATCCCTATAGTATTGGTGAGTATCAGACAAAAATAATTATTGCTCGCGAAGAAGAAAATGCTCTCGTTCAAACGCCTGTGTGCTGCTAATGCTCTGATAACAACTAAGAATTTGCAATACAGCCACTTCCATAATGCCGGAGACATGACTGTAGGGACGAAACAGTCATATACTCAGCTCTGCTCGTTCATCGTCTTTTCGCCACTACGAAGCAAAAGATACGACGATAAAATACTGCATATCATGAATTTTGCTCAGTAAGTCAAAAGGCACAAATTGTTTGCAGTACATTGTAAACAACAACTTAAGAAACACAATTTTGATGGTATCGATTTGATTACGCCTAAGTGAGGCCCAGAGGGGCGAAGGAAAAAGAATATTGAACAATGGTTAAGGCCAGCGATGAGTAGTTCCTTAGCAACTGTCCTCCAAACACTCATGAGTGTAAATTTTATGCTTCCTTCTTTTGTTTCAAAGAAACAGAAATTTTCGGATGAAATTTAAGTTACTTCAATCAGACCAGTATTGTACTTCGCCTTGGTTGATCACCGCGATCTTAAAATCTTACGAAAAGTCTGCGGAATTCTAGGAAATTAGTGTCCTGGCTGCGGCAAAACTATCATCAATTGGCGACAACGTTTCTATATAAGTGATATAAAATGCCCTGCATACGCCTGGTGCAGACACTAAATTAGCGATTGACAAGGAAAGCTTTAGTTGGAGAATCCTGTAATTCAGACTGAAATGAAAAATTAATGCTTACGTTTTCGATCGGTAAATTGACCACAGTTCTCATCTTGCCTCACTATGTGTGGAAATCAGTAGACTGTTTACTGATGGAATCTATGTCATAAACACGCCACGCATTAGGGGTTCCCCTTTTTTCGATATAACGGAGGTATTATTCCACTAAGTCCAAGAATGACGGACCTGATTCCAGGGCGATATCTTTAAGACGTAAATTGCCGCAATCAGGTTCTATTTATTTTAAAAACGAGCTGCCGTGCGTGCTGCGAAATTCAGGACGCAGTCGAACCTCCTCCTATAGCGACGGACACCACGGAACGACAGCAAACTTTAGATCGAACAAGGTTTTCCATTCGCCCTTGCGTAAACTTGAGTAAAGAACTTTGAACATCATTAAGACGTCCTGTTCGATGCTGTATGATCCTGTATTGGCTTTGGTCTACCTAAAATAGCTTTATTAACTCCGATTTGATTTCACAAGCGCAAGAAATCGTATGCTCTTCAAGCACCCGTGACCCGCAGGAGCACAATAGGCAACTGTTGAAATGAGAGTGGCTTTGATTGGCGGGAGTATAATCACCTGGTAATTTTTTATCTGTTGTTATATAATGCTTACCTCCTGTTTATTTTGTTCGGGCTTGTACCCTGGTTAGGTCCATGCAGTTTAATTGAAAATTTGCACGGGTGGTAATTGCCTCATACTTTTAGAACATTTTGAGGCGTAATGTTATTGTGTATGTTAAACGGCCTGGCATATATTCATTAGCATATACTCGTTAGCTATTTTGCTGACTGTAGCCACGGTAGGCTGCGCTTTAAAAAAAAATTCCTCGTGACATTCAAAACTATTGCTATTTGTTGTTTTTGTTTCTCCTGCTTCAGCGAATACTACAGCGAATTCTTCCTTTAATTAATTCAAACACCCATCCGCGGAAACACAATATGCAACTGTTGAAATGAAAGTGGCTTTGATTGGCAGTAGTGTCATAAGTTGCTGTAGTATATTAGGACAGCGGTTGTAAAGGGTAAACCAGAAGTAGTGCGAGCGCGGGAATAGGGAGTGTTGGCTGCCTTTTGTGGCTTACTTTTGCTCTTCGACACTACAGTTGCTTTATAATATACTATATGCTCACCTCCCTTTTATTTTGCTCTGGGTTCTAGCCTGGTTAGGTTCATGCAGTTTAACTGAAAATTTGCACGGGTGGTGGATGCTTCATACTTTTAAAACATTTCGTGGCGTGCTAAACAACACCAAGCAGAGATGTTTCCTGGCAAAGAAATTTTGCGGAGTGCTGTGCTTGTCGCCATCGGCGGGATAGTTGCATTGTTGGTTTCAAAATTGTTAGAAGGTGACGAAGAAGCAGCAGCTCAGAGAGACATGAGAGAGATCAGAGGAGAAGATGAGTTGAACGAAACTGAGAAGCAGCCACAAGAAAATGACGAGAGGTTGCGCTGAGAAGGTGAGTGTGGTTGTTCACATATCAAACATATTGAGCCAAGGTCTGATTTAGAGTATTTAAAAAAATAATGATTTCTCAGAGGCGTCATATATGTCGGAAAAGTTTTGTGTCGATACTGAAAAGCGCATTGCTAAAAACTGCCATGCTAAGATTTTTTGTCATGGTAAAAATTTCTAGTTTTATTTCTAGCGTTCATTCCTACATGTTTCATATTTATTTTTACGTACGGCTAATTTTGGTGAAAAATTGCAAATCAATTTTCTAGCTTCGTTTTGAATTCTTTTTTCCATCGCGAGGCCGCTGACCTTTCTAACCTTCTCTCAGTTATACTCATAATCCTGATCATCACGCGATCTGGCTGCGAAGTAAGCGGCAACAGATCCGCGTCCCTTATTGTCACTGTGAGGGGTATCTAATGGCTCCATTCAATTTAGAAGTGCTCGTAAAATTTGGCCTTTGCTCGAATTGCTGGCACAAATTAGATGAGTGCTCACTTGCTCGTGCTAGCAAAATTTTTGCAACTGCTCGCCTGCTCGGATTCTCGTTAAAATTTGTTCCATTGCTGGAATCCTCCTTCAAGGTCTGCTAGCTTTTAGTTTCTTCTCGTGGCGTGTTCAAAACGTTGGGTTACTTGTTGGGTTACAGAACTTTAGATCTCCTTAAGCGTCCACCCTCTGACTCACGTGAAGCTGAGTGACGTAATTTGGCATCAAACAACGTCAAACAAGGCATAATTGCCTCTAAGTTGCGGGGATTGGTTGAACTGCGATAAGATCTCCATGTTTTGTCTACAATAGTTTTGCGCCCATTGCCCTGTTTTGGAGGTGTCAACCAGGCGTAAAAAAACGTTTCCTTATTTTGAAATAAATAAGAGATTTCGGTTAACGCGAAATTTACATAGTTCGCGCTGCTCGCCATATGTATTTTCTAAAGTGCTCGCTGTTAGCAAGACGAATTTGATTACTGCTCGTGCTCGCAAAAATAAACGCACTGCTCGCCTGCTCACAAATGCTCGCAAAGACCATTCGACACCCCTACTGTGATATCTTTTGACCCAGCTTCGCGAGCAATACTTACACACTTGCAATCAGACCGACCTGTTTGATTAACCACGGACTCCCTTTTGAGTTGAAAGATCGTGGGCAATTCTTATGGGTTTTCTTCCTTTTCGTTAACTCTGCATTTGTTTCTTTACTTATTTATTAAGGTTTTCCCGAATTAAATTGTAAGTAATTTAATTTTGTGTCGCTAAGATATATTTAATGTGTGAATAGTGTCCCCAATTAGTTTTCATAAAGCTATATACTCTTTGACACTTAAATAAAGTCTTTCATTCAGTTATTCTCTTTAAAACAAGGAAACATGAAACTTTCTTGATCTTATGTTCATTGCTGCTTTTTTGTCTTGATTCTAGGAATATACGGCACAAGAGAGACATTATGACAGCCGACATTTTAGTACTTTAACTATTAGACGTCAGATTTATACATGTACCTGAATTACCATAATTCCTAGCTTGGAACACTGAAGTATGTTAGTAGTTGTCGACGCGAACAGTTTTAAAGTAGAGAATTGTAAACGTCTTATCTAACTGTTTTCTTTGTACGTAGTTTTGTAAGATGCCTGTTTGCTGCATAGTACGAACAGTGAGCACCGCGAACTTGGCTTTGTATAAAATGATACTGCCTTGTTACATAACCGATCACTGTGGTGATGAAATGTTATTCATGTCAAAGAACTGTTGTGTTTTCCTGCCGTGACCTTATGTTCATGGCTCATTCGAACTTGTTCATGATCAGTAAACAGTAAGTAGTTTGCAGTGAAATATGTTTTCATGTAGCATTTCATTCCAAGATGTACACCAAGATACCGATTCAAGTAACTTGGTATTCTAACTCCCCTATGGCCGCCGTCCGTAGACTAAAATTATATACCGACCAGCTCTGATCACTCCTCGTATCATTACCGACTAGGAGATAACGTACAAGCTGGGAAAATTCCCTTCACCAGCGCCAGCTGTACCGGGATTGTAGAAGCTCGAGTGTTGACTAAACCTGTCGAAATTGACCAATCAGAATATGCCAGATCCTGGTATACCGGAACGACCTTTTGTTAAGTTTGCCTAACAGAAAATGACGTCTCTTGATTTGCCCACAGGCGTTCTTTCGCTTTCTCTAACCGCGCTTCTCTCCTAATTTTTCGCTAGCCGTTTTTCGCGCTGCGCCACAACTAACTGAACGCCGACCTGGAAGAGGCTAGCGCGCGAGTAACCGCGAAGTGCCTCGTTTCCAGTCGCCCGCGCGATAGTCAAAAAAATAAAAAAAAATTGGGAGGAACCATTAGCTACCAGCTCCCGCTGGCGCCTTCTTGCTCACTCCCAGTCTCCCAATTACCCATTACGCTAAGAAAAAAAGCCTGTGGAAGAGGCGGTCACTACCTCTTGCATGTTGGCTCGTTCATATCCCCCGCGGTTAATATTTTTCTTGCGATCTTAACGATCTACTGCTCGTTTCTGCAGGCGTAGGGTAAATTCCGATAAGCAACATGGTCCAAAGTAACTCAACTGAAGAAGAGAATCGAAACAAATAGACTGCAAGCAGTCTCCAGAGCATTTTGAATTAAAAAGCGACACGCTGCCCCTCACGCGCCCGGAAGGAACATGCAGAGTATTTTTAAAAACGATTTTTTACTGACCAAAACAATGAGCTCAACAGCAGATTTCTGTGGTTCTTTTGGCTGCATAAAATGACGATATGTTTTCGAAAACACGAGGGTAGTGTCGTAAATGTGTCGTGTCTGCATTACCGTAACAGCAACATCCCACGTGAGCATAATGGTTTCTGTCGGCATAAAACTTGATCATGATTATTCGGTTACCAGAACAATGGCGGAAAGCTATATTAGTATAAGAATGCGGTTTGCTGAATTGCATAAAAAAGGTCACCAATTGTAGTGAGCTCAGCTCGAACTCGATCAAATCCCGAATACTATTGGCATGAATAACGTGATCTCAAGGCCAGCTTCGCGTAACTGTTACTTCACGCCAGCTTACCCTATCATAAAAGCACGTGACGGTAGAAACAAAGTGAAACTGAAAGAATATAAGAAAAAGAGGAAACGAGAAAAATCGAGATAAGGTCGCGAGAGCGTTACTTGAGTCATATATAGAGGTCACGCAACACTTCTACCAAATTTAAGGGGTCGCCATCTTGAACTCGAAAGAAATAAGAAAATTAGTTTGAGTTACAGCAGGCTCCGAGATCATGAGCAGATAATAAACGACTGAAAAGCACATCCAAGGGAAAATGACTTGAATTCGGACAGCGGAGGGTGCGAGAGTTCCGAGGTCGAGTTGCGAAGTGCGACTGTAATGTGTAATACTACTAACAAACTCTAATAGCCAACAAACGCCACTTTCACCGAATTACGTCTAATTAAAACTATCGATTGAAATAATGGTAGTTTAATGAAAGACCATGCGACCATAATTTTAATATAAGGTGATTGTTTCCCTTTGCAAGCATGAGCGTAAAATATATTTGGCCTCACAGCCGGAATAACTGAGTTTTGTTCCAGCGACGAGTTTAAACCGCCGGCGATTGCTTTTAGTTATTATTGGGCTTTAATGCTTATATGAAAGATTTGAGAACTGCCATAAAGATTTAATAAACGAATGATTCTTCTACGAACTTTTGCGAGGATAGTTCATTGTACTTTGAGCTCAACAAGTTTTTACAAAGTGCTGACTCTTTGTGCAGGGATCAATATTACCTTCAACTCCTACTCGGAATCCTTAACATCTGATTCTCAAAACTTAACAGCTATCTTACAGACTTACCCTGAGCTGCAGTACACCTGTGTGTCCCGTTTGGGCTAGCTACTAACTGGGTAAATTCTTTACCCAGGACACACTTATTTCAGCCGAAAACTTGAAACACTTCATTGATAGCACGTGCTCGCTATAAAAAGCTGAAGACGTCATGAAAGGGTATTCCCCGTTATATTAATAACCTCGGTTTCAAGTTTGGCTCCGGGAATGTTGAAAAACTTCTGGCCCTTTTGGCAACAGTAATACTGTTTCAGTCGGAATATTATATTGCTTGATAGTTTGATATTATTTGCAATTGTGTGACTTATGCCAGTTTTCAAGTTGTACTGCCACTTGCCGCAATGGCTCTTGCGTAGTTGGACAATTAGAAAATCAATGCATCGGAGTTAAGTGATATGTATGGAACCCCTTTGTAATTTAAAAACCTTTTTACTTCCCTGAAACTGAAAGAGAAACAAAGGCGCAGTAAATGACCCTAATCCACTATGTACACAGAAAATAGCTTGGTAGACACTACGTACTGGAACCTCATTGGTTACCAGATATCTGCTCAAGGTTTGTTATCCAATCAAAAGATCTTGAGTTTATGAAAAACAAAGTACTACACTAAGGAAATATAGAATTACTTTCGAGAGTAATCAGGAAATCAATAAACTATTTATAACTCACAATCAACAAAGGCCACACGCAACACTGGCACAGTGGTTAATTAAAGAGCATCGCGAAGGGTGGCATAAACACCTGAAGCAATATTGAAATTTTTCAAGGTTCAAATAGGACTAGATCGCCAAAAATAATCTTTGACTTGTGCTTGAATCGTTATAGATTTACTGTTACCGAATAGACCCTACGCTACTGTGGTTTGAGGTTTATGGATTGGAGTAGTCGATTTCTACAGTGTATGAGTTATTAGTTAATTATTGAACAATATTTAGAGATATAGCTCTTATATGAAATCATTAATTAATAGAAAGAAATTATTCAGAATTCTACTAAAACATTCCTACAGTGTATGAGTTAATAGTTAAATAGGCCTTCGGCCTCATCACCTCATATATAAAGTTTAGAGCGAAGACTCTAATCATTAATTACACCTGCGGA